TCCCATAGGATAGAGTGGAGCTGTCCCATGGATAGAGTGGAGCTGTCCCGTGTCATAGAGTAGAACTGTCCCATAGGATAGAGTGGAGCTGTCCCGTGTCATAGAGTAGAACTGTCCCATAGATAGAGTGGAACTGTCCCATGGATAGAGTGGAGCTGTCCCGTGTCATAGAGTGGAACTGTCCCATATGATAGAGTGGAGCTGTCCCATGGATAGAGTGGAGCTGTCCCATGTCATAGAGTAGAACTGTCCCATAGGATAGAGTGGAGCTGTCCCGTGTCATAGAGTAGAACTGTCCCATAGATCGAGTGGAGCTGTCCCATGGATAGAGTGGAGCTGTCCCGTGTCATAGAGTAGAACTGTCCCATAGGATACAGCGGAGCTGTCCCGTGTCATAGAGTAGAACTGTCCCATAGATCGAGTGGAGCTGTCCCGTGTCATAGAGTAGAACTGTCCTGTGTCAGCGTTTCTTGCCTTGGTTTACAGAAGCGGATTACCAGGTGCTTTCTGTCACAGTCACTGAGGGTGTGAAGCCCACACAGTGTGACCCTACCTGCCTTCTGTTCTAGCTGTGAACCTTACAGTCATCGTTTTTTTTTTTTTTGATACACAGCTTCCTTTGTTTCTGTTTGAATTCCTAGAAATTGTTTTCTTGTAATAGTTTTGATCGTGTAACATGTGACCCTGTAAGATAAGCACGGAACTGCTAACCACAAGGTCGGTGGGTCAAACCCACCAGCCGCTTCTTGGAAACCCTGAGTTGGAACTGACTTACAGCACTTAGCAACAACAAAGCCTTTCGCCTGATCCTATTGCCAGAACCACAGAACAGACCATTCCTAGACCCTGCTTACAAGCTTATCCCCTCCGCTCTGCTTCAGTCCCCTGAAAATGTGAAAAATGTTCAGGTATGGAATGCATTTTCCTTGGCCCTTCCTTGATGCAAGCCATCCGTCCGTCCATCCATCTAGCACAGCTGTGGTCTCAGGGCAGCTGAAACAGTGTCTACGACGCTGGGATTGAGGGCTGTTTCCAGCTTTGCTAATCCAGTACCGTCTCTCAGATCGCGGTGGTCTTGTATTTTCTGGACTGATCTCTAGGAGTGGCATCAGGTTCTAGAGATACCACTCTTTCTTAGATGATGACTCCTTTTCTGTGCACCCCATGGCAAGGATGGTGCCAGAGTCTGCATTGGGGACCAGCGACTGACGATATCTCCCATGATTGACCCGTACGCTCTCAGCTCCCAAAGCTTGGGAGCTCTTCTGGGTTAGGGAGGCGAATCCCTTATTTTAAATGACATAGATTTTTGAAAGTGTTAAAAGTCATGTTTTCTAATATGTCATGTGTCTTCGACTTGCTCATGGGGTTCATTTGGGGCTACAGAAAAGGAGGGTGTGTGTGTTTTACTGTATTTATTAATCATGTGTTTATTGTTCCTGGATTTAAAAATCATATTTCAAAAGGTTTCCCCACTCCCAAGTTACAAGGAGCTCGCTTATTTTTTCTTTTTCTTTATTTTTTACAACTTCTGTGGATTGAGTGGAAGTTTCCAGGGCAGATCATCAGTTTTACATTCAACGAATCATGTACTTTGTTTCATTACAATGGTTATGATCCCCTCCATGTAACAAAAGTTAACAGTATTTCTCTCTATTCATTTTAGCGTTTTTTTTCCTAACATGCAGGCATATGTAATAATTTAAACCACCAAAAAGCACATTCTGCAAGCTTGCCTCCTGGCCACCAGCTCTTCCCATGAGTCCTGAGTCCTCATCTGCTCCCTGTCTCCATGTCCCCATCTCTGTCTCCATCTCTGGTGTTGCTGCTTCTCTGGATAAGGTCTCACATTCCGCTTGTGCTCTTCTCCCTTGATGGTCCTAGGGTCCTCTGTTTCTGGACTGTAAGATTAAGCACTCCCCCGTTTTTGTTACAAAACTTCTACCTTTAGAGTTGTGACAGTCTCAGTTAGTCATGATAACAATTACTATTGAATCATAAGAATCTCAGACCCATCTCTGGTAGCGTAGTGGTTACGAACCAGGCTGCAAACTGCAAGGTCAGCAGTTAGAAACTACCAGCTGTTCTACAGGAGAAAGATGAGACTTTCTGCTCCCGTAAAGATTTACAGCCTCAGAAACCTTGTACAGGGTCACTATGAGTCAGAACCAACTCCACAGCACGTAACCACCACAACCACCATCTAGACAAGATGAAAACAGTGGGGACTCAATCTTCCCCACACATTCTTAAACTAAACTCCCTCTTGAAACTTTGTAAGCCAGTCACTTCGTGCCTTTGTTGTCCCCTCATTTTAGGTAGCCGGTGTCTAACTTGCCTGTCCCTATCTACCCTATATACAGAAGGGATAGCATAGATACTTGATGTGAAGACTCCTTCCCTCTCTGTTGGTAATTAGAGCTACTACCTCCACGAATAAAGGTCAGGTTCATCAAATTGTAGCAATTTACCCTTGTTTCCTTTATCACAACTTTTGTTGTTTTTTTTCTTCTAGTTGAGTTCTGATTATCAGGCCATCGAGGCTAGGTCAAATGGGTACTGTCTGCAAGTTTGGGTGTTCTTGTTCATCTCCCCTCACTTCATATCAGCTGGATGCTTCACTCTCAGCTCTAGCCCTCTGTGGCTATGTCCTTGTCCATGGGCTCAAGTGTCCCCAGGTCTCACCACACTTTGGATCAACCAGCCCTTCCTCTTCTCTCTCTCATCTTCAGATCAACAGGAGTCTATGGAATGTGGTTGAACTCAGCCCATTTCTTCATTGCTGCCTTTCCCCCTCTTCCACTCACCAATAGACTAGTGTGGCTACCAGCAAGCTTACATGCCTGCTTATTTGCCCATTTTTTCTAGTATGTATGGTATGATTTCATTTTGTAATATTTAGATCTTTGAAACCCATTGGAACTTTGATTGTGGTAAATGTATGGATAGCAAAATATTTGCCATGTCTACAACTGTCACATGTACAGGGACACTAATGAGGTGCCTACATTCACTGTCCCCACGAATGACCCAGCCCATTGGCATCTGCCCTGGGAAATGGCATTGAGGTACTGATGTGATTTTGTTTGTCTAAGAGGTTACTGCTGTCTTAACGTCTAAGCCCATCTCTTCTTCATGGGTATGAAACCCTGGCTTCTCCAGCTCCTTTCCCCAGGGGTGCCTGTGTGTGCTGGTCCCCACATGTTTTTGTTTTTGTTTTAATGTTTTATTGTGAATTATATGATAGTTTACATGAGAGAACTTTAGTTTTACATTCATTCCATCGTATATCATTTCATTGCCATGGTTCC